CTGCTGGCCATGTGATGCTGAATGGTCAGTTTTCCTTCATTTTCCTTAGGAGCATATTGTGCTCTGTGTTTTCTGGTGTCACCACTGTAAGCATTGCCAAAATAACTAATCCTGAGGTAACAATGTATTTATGTCAAAAGGGATATCTTAGAGACACGTGCAAAATTTTCTTTTGAGAGATTCTTTTGAGGAATTTTTCTTTGGAAAGATACCTGAGGAAGCATCAAAGGAGCCATTCTTCTGGGAATTTCTGAATGTCTTCTGAACGAAAAGGGGCAAACTCCATCTGCTAGGCCAGCTGTTGAATGTCCATTTACTTCAAACAGTGGTTTAGCAGCAAGAGCACAAAGTCTGCCTGGAGGCTGTTCCCTTCCTTGCAACAAATGACAGTCCATGGTTTTAGTAGCTTGTATAAAACATTGCAAGGAGTTTATCCCATCCCCTATATGAAATATTGGAGTGGAGAAGGCTTTTGGATGCTTCTCTCTCTAAACCAATTGCTATGCCCAAGAATTAATAAAATCCATATTGTAGTGACAGCTGGTGGACAGAGCTGGCTTCTTCCTGCATCACTTGTCTCTCTAGTGGCTCATGTTCTGGGCTCAATGCACATTTATCCTTTTATTACAGCATTTACTGACTTTTATTTATTTATTTATTAAACCTCTGTTTTCGTCAGAATCATAATTGCACTGTTCAAAGTCTAAGTTTGGTCGCATCAGCACTGGCTATTAACATAGTTCTTTCCTTTACTCTTTAATTACTGGCCTTCCAAAAGGCATTCAGTGAAGGAAGTAAAAATGCAGACAAGTGAGAATATATTTTCTCAAAACTTTCTGTGCCGTCATGAACCAGCTTCTATACTACTTTAACTATTTCCTCTCTTGACAATGCGAGTTCTTTTTCTTAATTCATTATTTCTTTCATTTTCACCACCCCCTAATTTATATGTACATTTCTCAAGCTGACAGAAACTTCAGACTGACTCAGTAGGAAAGTGCATGTCACAACAATAGGGATTCAAATGAACTTTGGAGCAGAAATTCATTTGCTTGTTTATTTATGCTAGGTTTATATGGTAAGTGGCAAGAAGAGATAAAAACCATTCTTTTCAAGGGAGAGAATACTTTCTTTCCAAAGAAGTGGGGTTCAATCATTGTCTCTGTCAGTCTAGTAAGTGATTTCTGTTTTGAGACAGAGAAAAGAAAAACCAAGTGTGCCTTTGTTTTCTGGAGCTCTGTAACCTGGGTCATCCAGGTAATTACAGCTTTACTTAAGAAACAGTGTGAGAGAGGAAAACTCTGCCACTTCTTGTAAGCACAAAGAAAAGGCACTTGAGAGAATTAAATTGCATGATGACTTTTATAAGGCATCTGAATCATTTTGCATTCTACCTCTAAAGCAGAAAATGATGAGTTTAGTATCATATTGTAGGATGTAACTGGTAAGTCTCTCAGAAGGCAGCTGTGGCACCCAGAGCCGTTTGAGCCTAGATATTCATTATTTTCTGCATAAAGAAAATGTGAATATGAGACTTTGAACCACTTCTAAATTTATTCCCCCTCTCACTTGCAGGTGCTGCAGCAAGAGAAGCCCTGATGGGAGTGGGATGTGGTGTGTAGGTACTGGCAGATACCCCTGGGGTATGACAGCAGATAGCAGTAGGTTAAGTGTGTTTGCATGTGCTCATGTAAATGCAAACACAAGTTTATTTACTTCATTCTCCCACTAAAGTTCTCCTATCTCCAAGAGCAACAATTTCAGGAGGTCACTTCTCTGCTGACTTTGCTGAAATTTCCATCAGTAGGTGACATTACATATCCCACAAAATGTTAATTCTGTGATCCTACCTGAATTGCTGGAGATGAGTAATTATGTCAAAATCTTCCAGAGAACTTCAACTGAAATAGAAAATTTTATTCCCCTGCTTAAATTTGTTGTGTGGCAGTGGGGAAAACAGTTCCTACATGTAGAGCACCTATGGATATCTATGGCTCTAAAGAGGAAGTAGAAATACCATTATTCAGGAGCATAGCATAATTCTTGTGAAGCTTGACTGCCAACAAATTGTCTGCTGCTTGGTTTACCACTTGAGGCACGAGGTGGCAAACTTTTAATGTCCCAGTGACTGGGCTGTTATTGTCCATTTTAAGGCCACAATAACTTTGTGTCTGGGAATAAGAGGACTTTTTCCATTAGGAACTCATGTGTTGTATCAACAATGCACTGAATTATTTTGTTCTGTAATGGAGAATGCTGAACATGTTTCCCTTTGATAAAGCAATGAATGTGAGGAGGAGAAATGTGAACCACTGAAATGCTGTTCTGCTCACACACAGCAGTGTCTGGAAGTAGTACATCTAACTAGCAATTACTCCAGCAATGTTTAAAAACATGCTGAATAGGATGGGCAGTTGCAAGTTTGGACTAAATTTAGTGCACAGGAATATGTGAAATAGAGATTTTTATACGTTCAGTTGGAGGCTAAGGAACAAAGGCCAGAAAAAAAACCCCAGTTGAACAGTCATTGTGAGCTAACTTCAGAAATTACTTTTTAATTATCTTGAAATGGATGACTTGAAAAATGTTTTTGAACACTTGTTTGGGTGATGAGCTACCTCTTTAATGTCACAGCTTCCAAATAAGGGATCTGGAAGCTTAATCTTTAGGTGGGGCATCTGAAGGACACTGTTCCCTCACAAATAACCCATCAAACAGATTATTTGAAAATGGTTTTGGTGAACAAAAAAGATCTTCAAGGAAATTTCAGCTCACCAGGAGACTTTCTGATATTCTCTGTGACATTTCTACCAACAATTTTTTTGAGTGAAGGTCCTAGGAGAGTTTAGAAAATACTCCAGTGACACTGTGTTAGACTGGATAACTTGATAATTGAATACTAAGCTGAGGCTCAGGTCACTCATGTTCTGCAGGTGAATTTCTTGCTGGAGAGCCTGTGGAAAATTATCTTAGTAATCTGTGCCTCTGCATCTCTGTTTGTGGCCATCTTCTTTTGGAAACAACTTCAAAACTATGAATGAATAAGTACACCATGACATACCATAAATCATGCATTTTACACCAGCAATTTTATTTGCCTTAAGTCACAAATTATTCTAGTCTATTGTTATATATATATATATATATATATATATATATAAAAAAGCAGAGAGATATATATATATATATATATCACTGTGCTTCTTGATTATTTTATGTTAGGAACTATGTTCCTGTAAAGAATTCTGTCTGGTTGTTCTAAAATAAGTATGACTTAGGTCACTGACTTCCATGTGAAGGACATTCATGCTTTACAAATACCCAGTTTAACTAGATTATCTGCTCACTTCATCAAATCACTGTTTTGAGACTCTACAACATGTTCTGTTTTATGGTGATATGCCAGTGTGCATCTGATCTCATCAAATTCTGTTTGTGATGGGGAAATTATCTCATGAAAATAGTATTACTTAATCTTGGTTTTTAATTTCTGTATGCTTGGAGAGGAAGAAAATCCTGTGTGGTGTTTCATCCTGTCAATGCTAATCTTTCTCCTCAGTGCTGTATCTCCAAATAGCAGATGTGTGCTTTATTGCAGGGCTGCTCCTCTATAGCACAGCAGAATGTTTTGGCAGGAGCAAACAATTTATTGTATTAGAGTCAAACACAATCAAATGTTCCCTTTCCTATGAAGCATGGTCAGATATTGATATTGCATTAGCTAACATTTTAACATAGCGAAGGCTTAATAAGATACATTATTACTCTCTCTAGGCTGTTTAATTAAACTAAGCAGTCGCTGTGTATTATACACTGGTTTCCTGCCAGGGGAAAGTAAATCTGTATTATATTAGTGTCACATACCAACTGATGTTCTCCCCCCGTCAGAGGCTCTAGAAGAGCTGACACTGCTGCCACATGAACTGCCCAGCCCAACCTGCCTTCCTGTCACACAGAGTGTCCCATAGCTCAGTGATCTCCAGCAGCCCAGCAAGCTTTGTGTGCCCAGGGCTGCAGAGCTTCCTGCTGTTTTGCAGTTCAGGGAGAAGCACCATGAGCATCCTGCTGCCAGCAGAGCTCTTCTCCATCCCTCTCTTGAGGCAGGGACATCTGAGATCTGGGCACCAGGACAGCGCCAGTGGCCTCGTGCTGGCCAGGTGACAGGGATGGGCTTGTCATGTCATTTGTTCGGGTCCAGAAGTTGTAAGAATTTGGGGAAACTGGGTAATTCAGTGGCATCTGCTCTGGTGTCACTCTTTAGTGCTGGACAGTGCTGCCGATGGCACTGTGTGTAGGGATCCAGGTGAACATTCCCTCTTTCCTGCTGATGCCATGGGAAGGGTATGGGCAGAGCAGGCACTTCTGTGCTAGAGGGTCCTGCTGTCTTCCTTTAAAGAGTTGGTGCAGAATCCTGTAGGGAGCTACAAGCAGGGGGCTATTCCAGGCACTTTCTTTGGAGAGTTACTGCTAGGAAAGCGAGGAAGACAAAACATTTGCAATATTTCTCCTTATACACAAGAAATAAACTGCACAGGAAATACTGGAGTCTTTTTTACACAATTTTGAGCCTGTTTCACCTGGCAGAAGGGAACATCTGCATAATTCAATGCAGAACTGTGCAGAGATGGCAAAGCTATGCCCAAATAATAGTGCTCTAGAACTGGAAGGTGCATATTTTTATCACTGGCAGTAAGCCCTGTATCACAATGAAGGATGGTTTGGCTCTATTTTGCACAGTGTCCTGTTCAGAATGTTCCAATATTCTAAAAAAAGGTAAAGAAATGTCTGTCATGGTCCTTTGTTGTATTTCACATGCCCCCACAGAGAGGCAGGAATGGTTGTGTGCATAGCAGTGTGATCTTCAGCGTGGCTCCCTGATGCTGGAACCATGGATGGGTTCAAGAATGGCAGGACTGGATTTATGGGAGGCTTCGCCTGCATAACTCAGTTATGATTTATCTCGTGCTGAATGTTTTGTTGTTGTTGTTTTTCCTCAACAGAAGATTAACCTGGAGTTCTATATCGACATCCATGCCCACTCCACCATGATGAATGGCTTCATGTATGGGAACATCTTTGAAGATGAGGAAAGATTTCAGCGACAGGCTGTTTTTCCCAAACTACTCTGTCAGAATGCCGAAGACTTCTCTTATGTAAGTCAGTTTTTCTTAATTATCTTTTCCTAGTTTTTATTTTTTTTTCCTTTATGATAATCTCTGGCTTTATTTGATTGAGTGAATTTTATTTCAATATGAATAAAAGCCTACTTAAAATTGTATTATTAGCTACCATCTTCCCTCTTATACTTACCTTATCCAGCAGTGGTAAGTTGTGATCTTATATGTCCCATCAGACACAAGAACAAAAGCAGGTTTTTCATCTTCTGTTTAATAACCTTTGGTTCTGAATTACTGGCACACCCTGTCACATCTTTTGTCTTTTGATCAACTGGATCATATTTATTGTTCCAGTGCTTATATTAATTTGTCAAAGATTTTACTTGTATACTCTAAATAATAATATGCTAGCAAATAGAAACGAAATTAATCAGCTTGAAAGAAAAGGTTAGGTAACATCTGTTGAAAGTTGTGGCAAAGGGAATGTATAATTTTGAAATTCTTTGATATTACCATAGAAAATTGTTCTGCAAGAGGATTTTCAATTGCCCAATACTTACAGCTTGGAGAGTGGGAAAGGGGAAATTGGGTTCAAGGAACAGCTTGTTTTTACCCAAGGAGACCTCAGTGATTGAGTTTCTGGTCTGCACCTGGTTGTTTCAAAACCACATTAAGGGTAAGGGGCATTCACAGATCATAGCAATGAAAACCTGCAGTTGATAGGAGTTTAGAGATTCTGTGCTCAAGTGTGGGATTTCTCTCTGCTACTGTGGGAGATTAAGTGTTCCTCTTAGCACAAGCCTTGCTTGACAAAGGGAAAATATTTGAGAAGATGATGTAGGAAATAGAAGCCAAGAGCTAAATAAACAGCACAGCCTCTCCCTTTTGACTCTCAAGCAGAGTTCCACCCAGGTGCTGCTGGCACTGGGTGCATTCAGCTTCCCTCTGACATCCCACTGGTCTCTTGAGGCTGGAAGCTTTTCCCCTGCCATCCCTCCAGGCCATTCTTCCCAGAGCAGCTGAGCAGACAGAAGTGTTGGAAAAAGGAACAGCCACAAAGTGTCTCAGATGTATGAAGTGACAACATGTCCCCAAGTAGGGAAGGTCTGTTGTCTTGTTTCCAGCCTCCAGCCATGTGGGTTATGTGACTCGTTGGAAATATCAGGTGAAGAGAGGAAAGGAATCCAAAATGGGGGGAAAAACATGCTGAAGACTTAAAATAGTGTATGTAAATATGCCCTACTGCCTGCTCAAAGGGAAGGGGGGAAGTGCATCGTTAACATTACCAGGCTGGTGTTTGAAAGTGTGGGAATGGACCACTGTTGTTACTAATGAATTTTCCAAAGCTTCAGGAGGTCTCATTTACATTGTATGCTGCTGCGGCCATTTGTTGGGATTATAATACTTCAACAGCAGCACTTCAAGTGAAAACTGGCGGCTGCATGAAGTGTTGTCCATAATTGACTAGCTCCATGTCTTCACACAGCACAGAGACAATGTTCCATTATGTTATCCATTGACAGTATCATTGAAAAGATTACTCTCCTTAAAGCATCTGTCAACCTTGATTGATTTACAAGGGACAAAGCGCTGAAAAGGTTTGAAGTGCGGGTACAATTTTTGCCACCGTTTAGCATACATAATGGTTCTCCTTTGATGTCAAAAGCTCATCTTCTATTAATAATGCAGAGGGCTTTTGAATGCAGGCTACTTGTATGGAGTTCCACACTAATAACCTACTTGCTGTGAAATGGGATTCACTTTGGAGAAGCAGTCATTTGGGTTTTACATGTTCGGAATGAATCCCAACTCAAAGGGATTTCTTTCAGTGCTCTGCATGATTGCAGCTGAGCCCGGCACGGGTTAGGAAAGGCAGGCAAATCCTCCTCTGCTCCTCCAGCCAAGAATCTGGCAGGAATCACACAGCCAGATGCAAAGGAGCATGAACAACAAGCCTAAGATGATGCGATCAAATGCCTTGTGCCGTTTCGTCTGGCAACCTTCTATTAATATACTTTAGAGTGCATTTCATGCCTGGGCTGCTTTCTTCACCTGTCATTTCCAATAGGCCTTTTTATTGAAATGACAGTATCCAAGGGAGGTTGGTGATTAGAGTAGGGGATGGATAGGGGATTTGTACCCACACGCCTGTTATAGGACCAAAGGAGAGTCACCCAGTGTCTCTGTGCCCTGTTGGGCAAAACTTGTGACTCCACAACTCTCTGGAAGGCTGACTGTGGTTCAGAGGCATAAGTTGTGAAAAGGACTAGAAATTCTTCATTTGTACATGACTTCAGAAAAAGAGGCCTTCCTTTGGTTTATCTGTCAGCACGAGATAAGGAAAGTGAAAAAAGGGTTAGGATGTTTTGCTCCCAAATAAATACATGAGACATTCTTGGGCAGCTGCCTGGGCAAAAGGGACAAAATAAGTAAGGAAAACATTTTATATTTTCAATGTTTAAGAAGGATATTTTTAAATACTGGGGAGTAAACATAATCCATATGAAAGCTCTAACAGTAAAACTGGCATGCTCTTCTGAAAGGCTGACTCATTGCATTTTAGGAGCAGCTGTTGACACCATGTCTGAGTGCATTACACATCAGCCATGGCTTGGAGTAGCTGCAGTTTTTGTAGGGATGTTCTTCATTTGACCTTTCTTGTTTGGGAGAGTGGATTAGTCGTAAGGACCAGACACAAGCATTTGAGCATTTCAAGAACCTGCTAGTCTTAAAGGTGGTTAATTTTGACCTTTGTGACAGTATGAGAGGACACCATCTGTTCTCTCTGGTTCATTTAAAAGAAACAACTGCAGCCATTCTTGGGCGGCTTTATCACTTTGCAAAGACTGCTTTTCTTTTCAGTTAAAGGATAAAGACCAGCCAGAGGTACTTGGCCTGATCCAGTCAGTTTGGTTTCTTTTTTTTTTTTTTTTCCTTTGGATGGTGAACTGGTGGCACTTGGGACATGTTTGAGTTCTCATTTAATTTTCTTGTATTCAGCCTCCCAGCAGAGAACCTTCCTTAGAAACAGTTTGATCTTTGTGTGCCAGGGTTAGCCAAAGATCCTGATGAAAACTTGGGGTCCCATTATGCTGGGTAGCTGCTGAGGAAGTCCACAACCCTAAAAGCTTCCAGTCGTGCTGAGAAAGACATAACAAGTGGGTGAGAACTTATTTGCTTGAAGAAATTGGAGAATAAAACTTGGATGTCCCAAGTGCTAGTCTTGTTTTTTTGTCAGCAGTTCCCTGTTTTATACCATGCTCACACTCAAGAGTGAAGTCTCTAGTCAGCAACCCACCCAGTTTCCTTTAGGGAAGCATGTTGTTAGCTCCAATGCCATAACACTGTGACCTGAAACATATTTTAGAGACTATCATTGTCTCAGCAGCATGAGAAGATGCAGATATGGAATGATTTACACTAGTACTTTCTGTGGTGTGTTTTGTTCAGTTGTTTGTTTTTAGTTTGGATATCAAACGCAGAGCAACGAAGAAAAACATTTTAATCTCTTTATGTCTTCTGCCTGACTTTCTTTGATCCCCAAACTCCAGGTCTCCTGTTCTCATTTTCACAGCATCCCCCCATCCAAGCTTTCTTAGGGAAGATATGTTTGTTCCAACACACCTCCTCCATCCTATGGCAGCCTCTCTGGACTGTTGTGATTTTCCCTGGCTGGATACCTCCGTCTGAAGGCAGTGGTGGTGCAAGTGCTTGAGGCAGTAATATGAACACTGAATGATCAAATCCCTACAGTCTGTTCTGAAATAACAAAAAAACCCAGCTTGTATATGGCTGGAGAAGAAAGAGGAAGCAGTAGAAAAGTTGCCTGGAATTTATCCTGAAGTAAAATCCATACTCACTTGCATCACCACTTCTTAAGTGCTTCTCTGCTGTTTTGGTAAAAAAAGACTCTTGTCCCAGAAAGGCAAAAGCTGCTGTGTTCAGGTAGGTTTTGTTAACATCATGCAAGCTTAACAGATCTACTCAGAAATCTCTTAAAACCTGAGCACAATAAATGATCCTGCCTCCTTTTTTTGTAGTGTTGTACCAAGGCATATCCAGGAAGACAAATACAGCTATTATATACTTTAGCACCCCTCTGGGATGCATTTCGGCTTGCTGCTTCTTGGACGTGTTGCTCCATAAATTTATTTATTTATTTATTTATTTATTTATTTATTTATTTATTTATTCTGGGGCCTGGGTGAGCCAAGACAGGAAATGTGTTTCTGGTGGTACAGGGAACAGACTTTACAGTCTGTCCTCCTCAGTGTTACAGGCTTTGGTCTCACAAGGACTCTGCCTTTTGGAGAGTCTCAGAGAAATGAAACTGTTCCATTATGTTGTGCTGCACCAGTTCACCCCTCCTTGTGTACAGAGGATTGAATTTGTATTGAAAAGAAAAGGAGGGGGGGAAGTGTAGGAACAAATAGATTTTATTTCAGTACCTTCTTGCCTTGACCCCTCCTTGTGTACAGAGGATTGAATTTGTATTGAAAAGAAAAGGAGGGGGGGGAAGTGTAGGAACAAATGGATTTTACTTCAGTACCTTCTTGCCTTGTTTGTGCATATAGGAGTCGACAGCCCCTTCTCCATCCCCTCACAGGTAGAAATTTAGAATGTACACAGAAGAAACAAGTTTTCATGGCAATTTTATGGTTTATTTTCAAAGACCAACATTAGTCTTACCTAATGTCAACCTGCTGGGGAGCAGGTGACAGCCTCCCAGAGCAGCAGCAGTGAAAGAAGCTGCTGTAGGTTCTCCTGCAAGCTGCCTCTCGTGCAGAGCACCACAAATTCCCTCAGATGGGACAAACTGTGCAGTGAAGGAAGGACAGGAAGGTAGTTAAGAACTGGACACCTGTCCCCTTGGCAGGATATCTTTTTGGGTATTACCTTTTTAACCACATGATATTTTAATGTATGTAGAATACACCTCTGGCTCAGAGAACTGTCCTGGAGCAGTGAGAGAGCCAAGAAAGAGTGTGAGCAATGAGCTGCACTGCTCTGGGATCAGCATCCTGTCCCACCTTAGA